GTTTCTCTGAACCAGCATCCAGGTGATGACTCTAGTGTGAGGAAGAGATGGGAAAACCAGGGAATGACCAACATCGGACATCTGCTGTGACGTGGAAGTGTTGTGGCTGCAGCTGATGGTACCAGGGCTATAGCAACAGAGCTGCAGCTACTGGAGAAGGTATTTTGGAGAACAAAGTTGTGTTACGTGATGTTAGAGAAGCAGAAAGATAGGCCTTAAGAAATTAAATATGATGCATGACCTAAGGGAAATGAAGAGAAATAAAGAAAAGCTAGCTGCCCTTAGGAGCTGTTTTGTGTTGTTTCTTGTTCATGGGGACTTAGTACAGTCAATGGAAGCATCGAGCAAAGGGACAGAAAGGGACAAGTGGAAGTGAGGATGTAACAAAGTGATGGAGGCAGACGCAGCTCTGAGCTGGACGGAGGGGTTGGCAACAAGGGCAACCTGCCAAAAATTAGCAAGAGAGACAGGAACAATGTGAAGGGAGTACAGCTCTGAAGAGTAAAGGGGACAGAAGTGGAGCAAACTACACAGGCTGGGACAGGAAGAGGGGCAGAGGCACAGGGGAGGAGGGGGTATGCCTGGGGTTGCTTGCAGGTCTCTTTCTTACCCAGAAAGACTGCAGGGAGAGTCTTGTCTTCTTATGGTGCCAAGGGTGCAGAATATAAATCATGTGGGCAGATGTGATTAGAGACGAAATGGGGGGAGGGGGAGGAGATAATAAACACTCATAAAATTATGAATAATAATGGGGAAGCAACAGGAACTGTCAGCATGTCTGACAGTAAGGGACCGTATGGGTGCAGCAGGCTGGAACAAACAGAAGTAGCTCGTGCTGGTTTTGCACAGCTTGATCACATGAGAAGTGCCTGGCCACAGGATGCCACAGACACCAGAGGCGTAAGCATGGAAAGGGATTACAGAAGCTTACAGAAAACAGATTCTCTGTGGCTATTAAAAATGTTTCTGAGTCGTCTTCCAGTCCACAAAGTCCATGAAGTGACTTTTCTGCTCTTGCTCTGTATCTGCAGTCAGTTTAAATGAGGTGCCTGAGTCAGTCTAACAGCTTGCTGATGGTACGTGCAGTTCTGCTCCTGTCCTCCTGCAGCTATTTGTGAATGTGCTGCTTCTGGTGCACCACTTCTGGCATTCAATCTGTTCATTAAACCAGCGGAAAATGAAAGCAGAGTGAATACTGTTCTGCCAGTTTAGTCAGTTGAATCAGCCCATGGGTTTATGAGCCAGCGGCATCCATCACATCAACATTGCTTGGCTTTGTTGAGCCTCATGATGTTCACCTCGGCCCATTGCTCGGCCTGCCCATGTCCCTCTGGCTGGCTTCCCTTCTATCAACTGCACCACTCAGCTCAGTGCCATCAGCAGAGTGCTGAGGGTGCACTCAATCCATCACTGATGTCATTGGTAAAGATGCTGAAGAGCACCAGTGCTGAGATGGAGCCCTGAGGGACACCACTCCCCCCTGATCTCCACCCGCACGTGGAGCCACTGAGCGCCTCTCTCTGGGTGCAATCTTGTTTTTCTATGCAAAGAATTTCTTATAATGGCAGCTGAGATTCTTATGTTATTACCTGATTGCAGGGATTTGGGCTTTAGTCACGATAAGATCCTGATATTTACTGCACTAGCGTCTAAAAGCTAATGCCATTGGAGGAATGCTTTCTATCATGTCTGAAAGGAGGTGGTGACTGGGGAGAGTTCCTGGTAATTGATAAAGGACAAATGTCTCCAGCTGACGGAATATCCTGCCCTGATATCTAATATCAAAGCAGGGAACATGCTTTGACTTTCATTTAACAAATTCTTCTGTTTTGAATAAATCCTACTTAGTCACAGAAATAACTATCTGCTGGGACAACCGCAGTACATTCTTCTGTTACAAGTTAAAATGTGTTTTACTTTGCCCATGTGCTCAGCATTACGAGAGTTGCATCTGAGAGAATCCTAGAAACCACTCAGCTCTTGTGTCTCCTGTGAGATGAGTTCGTGTGCTCGACTGCGATCCACAGACCCTGAATGACACAGTAAATATGGACATTGATCTCTGACATGACAGCCTCCTCCTCTCAGCTGTGGGCTGTTCTTTATCTTACGTTTACGATGTCAGCGTTGTCCTCTGCCACTTCCATGTTACTGTTTGTTTTCAAATATGAATTCCTGAAGCGCTCTATCGAATATTTACCGGCACTAAGAATGGTGTGACATTGCACTGTGTGCCTTTTTGAATTAGTCTATAGAATAGGCAAAAAATAGCCTACTGCAGCTTTTGGTATTAGCTTATAATTAGCCTACAATAGGCTGGAGCAATGGGCTGAATGTGTGTGAGGATCACCAAAGCTGTCAGGTCCTGCACTTGGGTCACACCAAGCCCACACTGCTGCAGGATGGTGGAAGAGTGGCTGGAAATTGCCCAACAGAAAAGGACTTGGGGGAGACTTCATCGCTCCCTGCAAATCCCTGAAAGGAGGCTGTGCTGAGCTGGGCTGTGTGCTCCTGGGTGACAGTGATGAGAAGCGATGGCCTTAAGTTGTGCCAGGGGAGGTTTATGTTAGCTATCAGGAGGAATTTCTTCATGAAAAAGAATTGGTAGAGACTGCCCAGGGGAGTAGTTGAGCCACTGTCCCTGGAGGTATTTTAAAGATGTGCAGATGTGGTGCTTAGGGACACGGCTTAGTGGTAGACTTGGCAGTGCCACGTTAATGATTGGACTCAACGATCTTTGAGGTTTTGTCCAACATAAATGATTCTATGATTCTGTAATCGAATCAAAGAAAGGGTTCAGCTCACTTGCTGTCCAATTTAACAGTGTCTTATGAAAGCTTGAAGAACAGTAATGGATCATCTTTCTGCGCTATGATATTTTGCCATTCTATTCAACATCAGAAGTCTTAGATTAAGAGTAGACTTGACAGGAGAAGTACAAAAGTATAATTGATCCAGATGAGGCCATGGGAACAGACCAGCTCAGAGGACCCCTCAGGACCATTATCTGTGGTTTTATGATTCATGGAAGTCCTCACACTGGGCAGATGAACCAGCAGGAAAAATGCTATGGAGACACCTGGGAATTTGCCTTGGCTTTAGGTACTGCTGCCAACTCAGCTCTGTGCAGGAAATGCCAACCCACTACATCAACAACCAAAATGCTCTTCTAGGAAGCTTTCTTTTAAACAGTGTCACTCCCCAGATAGTGAAGGACAAAGTTCACTATTTCAGCTGTTGAAGTAATTCAACAGTTTTTATATTGGGCATAAAATCATCTGATACTTATCAGATAACAGATTTGACCTGGAGTCTTTTGCTCTCCAGCTGTGCTCTGAGTACTGGACTGAATTGTCCAGGTTTGCTTCTCCTTTCCTCCTTCCCCACTTGGTTTGTATATGTATGAAGACAAAATGTTCCAGCCAGGAACTATCACAGGGCTGGGGAAAGTTGAGCAGCTCATCATTATCCAGCAGTTATAAGAAGGATGGCAGATGGGGGATTTCCAGGCATCCTTCTGAATGTTGGAAAGAAACAAAGGACTCTTTGGAAAGGACATCTCGACAGAAGGTTCAAGCTCAGAATGGCTCAGAACATTGGTATGGAAGCAGAGAAAATACCTCTCAATACACAGAGATTAAATGAACAGGAAGCTTCTTGCAGGATTCCTTAGGACACGAGTTTCCAAATATCCCATTTTCCATTTGCTCACTGGTCTTTAATCCATTTAAGCTCTCATCTTCAGGACTGTTAGCAATAATGAAGGAATCTCAACCCACTGACCACTGAGAACCAACTATGAAGGTAAAGCACAGTAATATTTGCCCCCGTAGCAGGCATAGACTATGACATCCCCTCCTCATCACTGTGAGCAATTTCTTCCTTATACTTCACATCCACCCCAACAACCTTAATATCGAAGAAAGTTTTTCTTGATATTTCACTTCATTCTTTCCAAATTCCCTGATCTCTTGTCTTGCCTCTATGATTATGGAGAACAGATTATTTACTACTTCTGGCCAGTTGTCTTTTCCCTATCTGAAGTCTTCAGTTTTCACTCACTCACATCTTTCATCCCCAAAGGCTCACAGTATCCATGCATCACTTGAAGACTCAACTCTCACAAAGGCTGAAAAAAAACAAAAAGCTTTTTCCTGGCTCAATCTTAAGCACGCAGTTGCTTCCTAAGGGAGCCTGAGTGCCCAGGAATTAGACACAGCAACGTTCAGCTGTCTTTGCTGAATTTACCTTCACTTTCTATGGCTATGCAATAAACATTACCAGAACCAACAATTGGTCCTGGCTCCATTCTGAGGTCCCAATCATTCCACACTGACACTGAACATATTTTGTTTCATTTTGGGCATGCAAAAAAAAAAACAAACCCAAAACCAACACAAAAATAACCCAAAACAACACAAATGTAAGAGCGAGGTGCTTTTCAGTAATGTTCATGCTATTTATTTTGTAGTATTTCTGCACTGGCTATTGCACACATGATCAAATGTGTAAAAATGATTGCCAACAGTATGTCTTCTTTCTGCAGTTTACCAAAATTGCAGCTTCAAATTCACATTTGTGAAGTGCCCAGAGAACTCACATGCTTGCTACATCTTCATGCCCTGCTGCCTGCACTCAGGCTGCCTCCTTTTCTCTGCCACAGCTGCTAGTTTTATCAGTTGCAGATGGACAGGTATGTGCCACAGGAAATGCAGGTGGCTAGGTCCCATTCTCCAGAAACCTTCTAAGCCTTCATGAAATGCTGGTAATACACAGCAGAAGTACTGAAGTCCTCCAAATATGCATAAGCTTTCCTCCCATCAGGTTACAAAGACATGACAGACTTGGCAGCATGTGCCATCTTATTCTAAATGTTGCTCTGACAGTAATGCCTCCTATTTCTGTCTGCAGAAACTGGAACAGATGCAAAGAGTACAGCAGCACTGCTTGATAGAGCAAATTCTCAGCCACAGAACACTATTTTTCAGTATATCCACCACCATTAGCTGTGCATTTTCACCAGCAATGAACAAGAGCTGCATGCCACGCTCTAAAAATCTGCATGGCTGTCCAGAATGCAACTCAACTGTTTCATCACTGTCACCTCTGTTGAAATGCACCACTCACCGCCTCACTGTGCTCACATCCACTGCTGGGCCTCCAGAAACGTTCCAAAGTGTCGATGAATGTCAATGGATGCCATTTTTTCCTGCATGGAGGAATTCGATGACACACCTTTGCTATATACACACTTCTATTTCAGACACCGTTTATCAGACTGCTGCCACAAGTCATGCAGCAGCAGTATGTAATGGGATATTGGCAGGAAGGTTCAACTTCTACTGCCATCCCACCAACACCCACCTCTGGCGTTGTGGGCCAACACTACAAACCAGGAGGCATTACTTTCAGAGCAGCCCTGCACAAACTCAGCTTTCTGTTCTGTCTTTCACCTGTTGCAAGCTTTACTTCATCTGTTGATATTACGCATACAAATGATCACTGCAGAGACCACAGACAAGTTATCTTATGGTATATAGAGTCCCAGACAGAGAGAACCAAACTTGCCAAACCAAACAGAGACGTTCCCTGTTCCATGCACAGCACAGGGATGGAGATCACCACTCTGCACCCAGGAATCAAAGCACAAAAAATCTCAGGGGAGGCTGCAAGATTGTGCAAAGCTCAGTAATGCAACAGTAGAGGATCAAGACGAGCACTTTTTGAAATGTATTAGTTTTTGGAAAGCCTGTTTGAATTCTTCATTAAAAGCTGTATAAATGACAGGATTGATTAATGAGTTTAAGTAACCTAACCATGTAAAAAAGTCCAACAGGATGGGATGAAACCAACATGCATCCTGGCAGATAGGCAGGACCAGGGACATGACAAAGAACGGCAGCCAGCAGAAAATGAAAGCTCCTAGAATAATCCCTAAAGTTTTGGTGGCTTTCCTTTCTCTCGCAGCAGAAATTCTTTTCCTCTCCAGAATACTATCTGCAAGTTTTATTTGAACGTGATTGATAAATATTGGGGAGCCACCAGAATGGGAATGCCCTTCGTGAAGGCTTGCGTTAATGGAGCAGAGGGAAGACCCAGCAGAGCCAGTTATCAGGTGTGCAGTAGTGAATCGTTTCCCATACAGTGAGGGTGGCTTCAGGATCCTGGATCGAGCTGCTACATAAATTCTACCATATAATATCAGGAGGAGCACAGTCGGAATGTAGAAAGCTCCACAAGTGGAATAAATGGTGTAGGAAATCTGATCTGTGTTCACATTACACTTCGCGATTTCTTCGTGAGCTTTCACTTGCCTCCAAAAAAAAGGTGGCACAGAAATACTAATGGAGATCATCCAAACCACGGCGATCATGAGCATTGCTCGGCCAGCAGTCCGGCGTTTGGCATATTCCAAAGCATCTGTGATAGCCCAGTATCTGTCCAGCGCAATAACACAGAGGTGTAGGATTGAGGCTGTGCAGCACGTGATGTCTGATGATAACCAGATATCACACAGCACCTGGCCAAAGGCCCACGTGTGGGTGACAGTGTAAGCGATACTGATGGGCATCACGAGGACGGACACTAAAAGATCTGTTACTGCCAAGGAGCCAATGAGGTAATTTGCAGGTGTGTGGAGCTTTCTAGTAAAAAAAATTGTAATAACAACAAAAATGTTTGCAAGGATCGTTGCCAAAGTTATGACAGACAGAAGGACCGACAGGGATATCTTCAGCCCTAATAATGTCCTTTCATCCAAAGCCAGCGGTGGTTCAGTAAAATTTAATGACTTATTTGCTGAGCTCTGGAGAGAGAGCTCTGTCGAAAGGTTATACTGAGTCATCCTCTGAACTGATTTCAGTTTTCAATGTAATCTTTCCGGGATGATGAAGAAAGATGCTCACCTTTTTGCTGAATTACAACTTCTCATACTGGAGCCCAACACTGAAGAAAAACCAACTTGTTGAAAACAGCAGCTGCATAAATCATTACTGGAAAGTGAGAGGCTGCAATAGAAAAATCTGGGCATGTGACCTATGCCCCAACATAGCTGGGACAAAGCTATCTTCAAAAGTATTTTCACTTCCACTCTAACATCTGAATGTCCCACTTCTGGTATTTATGAAGATCTCTCCTGGTAGAGTACCCAAGAGACAATACAATACTGCCTGGATTCCTGATGTAAACCTGATTTCTGCCCGATTTGTAGATCAGAACCTGCTTCCAAACGGTGCAGAGCTCAGTTCTCGTTTATTCCTCCAGATCATTCTGGCTTTCTCTTCATCAAACATCCAGTCTTCAAATGCTGTTTTGGGAACCAGTTCTCAATGCGTCGGTGCTGAAGCTCGCAGCATGTTCCATGTACTGAGATGCTCCTGGTCTTGCACACGGTGAATGACTGCAATGACTGGTGGTGCTTCCCTCGAAAGAGGAAGAGTGGGGCTGGTTAAGGGGATCTGCAAAAAGAAAGTGAATGTTTTAGCTCACAGTGGTGATAGGATTTGTGGAAGTTGAACTGTGACAGTATACAAACAACAGACTTTCTGTAAATTTCTTTAGATTTCCTTCATGTAAATGAAATCTTTACGAACCTGAAGAGAACATCCTAGGGCAGATTTCCTTGAGATCTGTTGGTCAGACCCACCCACGAGTACCAGAACATCACTTACTTATGGCAGCCCATGCTTTCTTGACAGAGATTCCAAATGTAGGTCATGAACAGTTCTAAAGCACATCCCCAGGACTAGCAACAGAGATGCTGAACTCCACAAACAAAACCCCCAGACCGGCTTCCTCCCAGCCACGGAGCTGAAATGCCTCCAACAGCAATAACTTGCACAGCTTCACAGCCTTTGACAAAGAACTGAGACTCACGTGGTGAGGAATCTGTAGAGCAAGAGCGTCCATCCTATGTGAAACACCAATGTGTCAAACAGTTTCTCTTGAGCTCCTAACACTGCACAGTGCTTCTGGTTTTCTGTGATTTTTTTTTTTGTAAATGCCCACCTTCTGTGATTCAAAGTTACTTTCAGTGATGCTGTTTCTTTGTAGGTGTATTTTTTCAATAAGGGACCAAGAAGAGTTGCATATTTCATAGTAAGCTATGACTCTCTTCAACCAGCTGTTCTTCTTAATGTCCATTTTTGTGACTGGGCAAAGGTTAAATGCATGGTGTGCAACCTGTTGGCTTGCCTGGGCTGCATATAGGTATGCTGCTCTAAAAGTAATGCCTCCTATTTATTTCAGTGAAAAATACAACAGCAACATTGAGCTCAGTAAGTCTGTTTGATAAACCAAATTCTCATCTACAGAACTATTTTTCATTACAGAGGTGACCCTCTGTTGTTGTCAGCACTGCTGAAACTCATCACCCACCCTCGCTGTGCTCACATCCTCTGTTTGGTCTCCATAAACGCCCACAGGCATCAACGAATGTCAGTCTGTCCAACTTTTTCTGTAGGGAGGAATTCAATGACACACCTTTGCTCCATGTGCCCTTCCATGTCAGACACCATAGTGTCAGCGTGCCCCTCTGCTGCCAGCTGTCACACAGCAACAAAGCATAACAGGATATTGGTGGGAAGGTTCAACCTCTACTGCTGTACCACCAACATCCAACTCTGACATCACGGACCATAAAACAGGAGGCATTATTTTCAGAGCAGCCCTCATAAAATAGATAATATAGTTGATGTATATAATTAACAAAACTTATTTTAACCGTTATTATTGTTATTAAAACATAAGAAAGAAAGAGAGCAACAGCACCATAAGACTTGTGGGCTGTGTGACCTCGTACTGTGAAACCAATGCATCAGTGCCTGGTTCGATGGCAGTGGCTGCAGCTGTCAGCTCTCATGGTGTTGTCATAGAATTTGTTTAAGGAAATTTTACTCCTCCCATGTTTCATCTTTAAAAACAGCTGTTCACAAATGTCGTCGCCTTTTGGCAGGATGTACAAGAATGAGGCATGATTGTGAAGTGTTGGATAATTTTCTCTGAACACAAGAATGGACGTGGCAAACAGAGCCCAAGAAATCCAGTGCTCTGACTCCAACTGCAGCCAATACATTCAGCTCAACCCTGTGGCCCTATTCTGACACTATTCCAACTCTGATACATCCTTTCTGAGACACAGGGACCTGAACCACACACAGTGTTGAAGATGTGGGTACAGCACAGATGAACATGCAGCATTAACAGTCATTCCTGTTCTCAATTTCTTTCCTAGCAATTCCCGAGAGTTGTTTTTTTCCATCATCACAAACCACCTATCTGTCATTTCCACTAAACAGTCCCAATTAATATAATTGCAAAGGCATGAGTGGTAACATCAGCATTTTTTTTCCTGAATGCTCACTTTTTGCATCTCCCTGTACTGAACTCCTTCTCCCATGCTTTACCTGACATCCTTTGCAACTCTGCACAGTCAGTCCTTCTTTTAAATACTTGAAAAGCTTCGTCTCATCTTGGTCCTCACACTCTCCAGATCACTGGTAGTCTGAGCTTTCCTTATTTACCTTCTTTAAGGATCTCTGGCCAAGAACCTCACCCAAAATCTCCTGAGAAACCCAAGTAATTGTCTCAATTGGACATCGACCAATCCATACACTCCACAACTTCACTCAATGGCTTTGTGAGGCAAACTAACCTCTACAAAAGCCATTTTCACTGTTCCCCAGAAGACAGTATTTACTGTATGTACAGTAATTGCAGTGTTTATGATATTTTCTGCAAAGCAGCCAAGTACAGACTTCAGGTTTATGAATACACAGTTACCCATCAGGTCTCTTTGGGAACTACGTCACAACAGCTGTCTTACAGTTGGTGGGTGTAAAGGAGTTTTAAGTATTTTAAATAGCGGTTGAACACCCTTCTTGATCCCGTTGTACCTCGGATCCTGAGTTGCACTGAGCTCTTTGGCTTACAGCTACCTGACTGTGAAGATTTGTTATTCGTTTTGGCCAGAAATAAAGGTTCCATTTGAAAACTTACCCTGGATTCTCTTCATCAGACAGGGATGCTAAGAGTCAACCTAGTTTCTCTGTGATAATTTTCCTTTCTGTTCTTGATTTCTTTTTCATTTCCCTATTACCATCCCTTTGATTCTCTGACTCAATAGCTCATTTCAGAGCTGTTGCTTTTACAGCCTAAGAAATCTCTTTACCTGAACACCAGGCTGATCGCACATCCCACACGGGAGAAAACCTAAACCAGAAATATGAGACAGAATGATTAGCAATATTCATTTTTGTTCCCTACTTAGAACTTTACCTTGGGTATTCACTGTGCTGACATGCAGACATATTCCCTATGTGATAAATGATCACCAGGGACTACAGACTTCTGCAGAACAATCAGTCAAAATATTTTTTCCCTAAGAAGCAGTAAAGTGCCACAGCAGGGTATAATGTGCAGAACTGGAAAATATTTTTGTGATGTTCTAAATAAACAAACACTCACTGTGTAGTACCTGAACAGAAGCGTGATCCAGTTCAGTCAGTCACGAGCTCCACAAAACTGACAGGCAGAGCCCTGGGGTACCAGCGTGGTCAAACAGGATGGCCATAAAGCTCTGGTAAAACTCACAGCCCTGCTATAGCAAAGATTTATGCATTCGTTTAATACTATAACCTCACATACTATCACTGAATGTTAAATTCAGTGCACTGCTAAGAACATGCACGCACGTATCTTTCAGAATCAGGGACTCTAAATCTACTTTTAGAAGCTCTTTTGAACATAATTCCCTGTGATGCCAATTTTAGTTTGTGTGAGTTGACAGTCAATACTGCTGATATAAAAAAAAAGTGGTGATGGTATTACCATTAAAATGAATATATTAGTATGTGAAAAACATAAGTTATCATCAAGCTAAAATGAATGTCTTTCCAATGGCTTAATATTTAAGTTACCTTTTATTCAACTAAGGGAAAATCCTGAATAGAGACAACTGGATTTCCTGTTGAAAAACAGAAAGAAAAAATTAGTTTTCTTAAACTGCACACATTGGATTTAAAAAAATCTAGAGCAATCACTAAATTAAACAACACAGTCAACTTCAAGGTCAAACATGTAGCTGCTTATGAAGGAAAAAAAGAACACAAATGCATTTATAAGAGCTGTACATCCTGGAATACTGTGAGCCCACGTGGCACATTCAGCTGAGAGCAATCTTCCAGTGGGACGTGTTGCTTACATAGGGCTTAAATGGCCTCTGGAGCAGGAGAAGAGAAGCAGTGGGTAGAAACAGGAGTTGTTACCATCTCTAGATAGCATTCTTGTCTTCACTACGTGCAGTTTCACAGTCTGGGTAGCACGTGAAGTTATGTTTGCAGTGCTGAGTGCAGCAGCCATGGCGGTTCCTCTGCTCTGGTCTCTACCAGGCAGGACTCAGTGTGTTTTCATTCACCACTCTCAAGATGGAAACCCTCTTAGATGAGGGTTCTTTGGTCACCCTCACGTGTCACCTGGTGCCCTTGGCCATGGGACGTGGGTATTTTTTCAGTTCCAGGTGCCTGAAGGGAAGGTGGTATCACAACATACCATGGCAGCAGGTAGACCAGGGCTGCCCTCTGCAACTGCCTCTCTCCTTCACCAGAGCCATGACCTGTGACGACTGCATCCCTCGTTCATCCACCTCCAAAAGCGCTGCACACTGCACAGGCAGGGACCTTTCGCTCAGGTCCTTCATCCACACATTCAGTGGTTTCTAGGAAGATCCAGGAGGTGCATAAGAATCCTTTGGTATCCTGGAAAGATTTGAGGAATTCTTTTTAGTTCCTTCCCAGAGGAAAAAAAAAAAAAAATACTTAAACAGAGAGACAGTTTTAGGCAGTGTGCTGTTATTTAACTTAACAGGCAAAGGGTGAGCACAGTTCATGGTCTTGAAGGTGAAGAGAGGTACACATTCAGAGTGAAAAAACATTTTGGCTGTCATCAATAATATTAATAATAGTGTTATCATAACCCGAGGTGCTTACCTAAAGCCAGGCAGCTTTGTGAAGGCGCTTTGTGCTTCAGCTCTGTGGTTGAAGTAAGGAATGGAGCAGCAATGGGAAAGCAGCAAGGCAGGGCTGTGCTTCTGGTGAAGCTCCACGCTCAGCTCCAAGCAGCATGCTGGCAAACATGAGGTTAATGGCACTAAAAGATGACTGTGACAGAGTGCCATCGCGTGGACACCGCACACCTCAGCTGCAGCCCAGCACGGCGGATGGGGAAGACAGGAAGATTTCAGTGCAACCAAAGTCACACATTCCTGTCTGTTCAGAATCTGGCTGCCATTTCTAGAGAACAGGATGCTTTTTGCTGAGAACAACCTTACGGTGCAGCCAACAACAGCTTCTGAGAATGCTCAGGGGCAAAGAGAATGCTTTGGTGTGACCGCGCAGATCTGGCTGGAGCGAGGCAAAAAGTGCATGAAAAAATAGACTGAAATGAAAATACAGACTTTGCTCTTTCAATGAACGGAGCAGGGGGGAAAAAATAAAAGGAACAAGACGAAACATCTTTTAAGACATTGAAAAATGTTTCCTTTGACTTCAGGCTAAACTCGGAGGAATTAAGAGTTCATTCCTTCTCCCGTAGCTGGGTAACAACACAAGGAATTGCAAAGGGATGGCTGAGAACAGAGCTACGCTTCAGGAGATGACAGAAAATCCATTTGCTCTTCTGTCTTTTCATATCTGGGTTTAGTTTTTCATGTAAATGTTGAATCTTGCCAAAATAAACGAGGTAGGTTCTGTCACACTGAAACCTGGACAAGCAACGGAGACACAGCGCGACCCAGCAAACAGCAGATGGCACTCCTAGCAGTAATTGCACACTTAAAAAGAGACATTCACAGGAGAAGTCAAAAGAGGGAGCAATTTCTGAGCCAGTTCTTGTAGATTTGGGACAACTGACTCCAGTAAATAGCATCCGAGTGCTTGCAGAGTGCTGCTTTGAGACCAGATCCCAACACCTGCTCAAGAAGCTTTAGAAATTGCCAGTCCATAGACCATAGTTAAAGCAGGATGCAGCTTCTGGGAGAAAGCAATCCCACAATGCACTGCACAGAAAACTCAGGATCTGTGTGAAAGTTAAAGCTTAATAGCATCAGGAAAATGGGGTCTGACTGTATGGCTTGCACGCCTTGGTGCGAAGGACTGAGTGTGCCTCAAAAGTAACAGTAACCAAACTAGAATCCTGGCTCTGGATTAAACTGTCTGAAATGCATACAGGAAAGAATAACATTTTGCAGAAGCTGTAGATGAGAGAGAATAAACCTGACAAGAAAATAACAGGCATCTGTCCCTTGCACAAGAAGTAGGATTAGGCGGCATGGCGTACTGGAATGGCTGCCACACTGCCAGCATAAAGGAAGAAGATGAACAAGTACGGGAAGGGATAGTTTGAGAGCAGCAATGTGAATGCTGTTATTTGCTATCCAAGGCACATGAGCTAGTGAACCAGTGAATGAGCAGTTTGCACCTTGCAAAGAAAGGAATCTAGAATGGAATAAGCACGTTCTTGTGATGAGGAGCTGCTTTCAACATTGGGTACAACAACAAAACTAAGAGCAAAACAAAAGCAACCTGCAAACGTGTCCCTGGGAGAGAGGAATGAGCACAACTGCAATTACTCATTTGTACTCATTACTCAAGCATGGATCATAAGCTCGAGTGGACCACAGGAACCTGATTCGCTCCCCATCAGGGACGTGTGTTAGCAGAATTAGTGATTAAAACTTCTTCAGACACGGAGCTCAATCAACAGGAGCATAGTTTGCACCTGAATTTCTCATGTGTTGAGGGAGCAGCACGCAGTGCTACTGGCTAAACTGGTTATTCTGATTATTCAGGATGTTTCTGAGATCTCAGGAGTACTTTGTTGGCATCAACACCAAATTACGTTATACTATTTGCATACACTGCCATATCCTGCAAGCAGAAGCCATAGCTAGTTTGCACCTCCCTGACCTTTTTTCTTGCTCTAAGATGACTTCCTCAGCATTTCTTAATTCAGCATGCCGTTGCACAGGCACACAGGTTTTAATATTTCACTCAGCTTTCAAGGAAATACCAACATTTTCTCTCTCCTGTCTATACACACACAAGCTATCCAAGCCACCACCACTACACCTTGTGACTCTACGTGCCTTATGAGGGGGCTTTGGGCAACCTGATGTAGTGAGAGATGTCTCTGTCCATTACCAGGGTTGGAATAAAGGCTCCTTCCATTCCAAACCACGTAATAATCACCATAATTGGTTCTGCAATAATCACAAAGAAAGGCTAGAAATTAGCAAGCAGTGATGCTGGTAGATGCTGTAGCACAGAAACATCCTCTACAGTACATCACCAAAAGCTTCTTAGGAGGAAGCAGGAGCCAGAACACTTAGTTCTGAGAGCATTACCTGAACTCCATCAGCCTTGCAGTCTCTGATCACAAACACACAATGCAAAACCCCCAATTAATAATTTTTTTCCTCAAATTTTCATTCCCATTATTCCTCAACGTCGTATCAGGAGTGGAATTGTGAGGGCTGATGAGATACGGTGCAGTGTGAGATTAAATGTGACAAATGAGATTCACACCACCCAGCAGAGCACATCACAGACATCAGTCCATCACTTGTCTTCAGTTAACTCATGGGAGGAAAGATCATATTGGTGCATACTAAGTCATGAATCCGATTTCTCTCCTGTAAGGGAATTTCAGACCATTACTCAGATGTAGGTGAGGGACTTCCAAGCACATTTGGGCAACCAAACCTCCCTATGAAGCCCAGCACATCAGCACATAGAGATGAGGTTCTGTGAGCCCATGCCCCAGAGGAGCCCACAATTCTTCTCTTCACACCTGATGGGATTCATCACCAGAGGTATCCTGAGCCAACACACTGAATTCCATTTTGGAAAGGATGGTGTATCACTGTGACAACATCCTTTAGATGATGTCTAGACTTTAGACTATTGTGAAATACAGAATTTTCCCCACGTATTTAATGGTGCTCTATTCCCTTCACTTGTAAGTCTGCAAGACTTTGGTGTTCATTCAGTGGAAGCAATGGGAATTAGGCTAACACAGAGCGCTCTGAGAAAGACCATGGCATCCAAAGGAATCAGTGCTCAAGCACTGGCCCTCTGAAAATCAGCTGTAGTCTATAATGCTGGAAAGAGATATAAAAAAGAAAAAACTCTTGCAGATTCCACCCAAACTGTCTGTGCTCAGTTCAGCAGTGTGCTGTGCTTTGCAGAGCATCTGATGATGCTTTATTTAATCTGATTTCAGTATGTGCAGCCATTCCCATGAGACTCCAATTCTGAGCATGGGGTCCACTGGGATTTTTCAGGCCATCCACACGCACTGAGTTTCACCTTTATGCTTCAGCCATTTTTCCTTGCCTGTCCTCTTTTCCAATCCAGAAGCATCTGAAAGGCACTGGGTGATGTCCCACTATCTGCAGTCATGACTTAAAAACACAAGGCATGATAGTAAAAACATTAAGGTTGGAAACGACCTCTAAGATCATCCAGTCCAACCATCCAAGTACCACCAACACTGCCCACTAAGCCACGACCCTACATACCACATTCCTGAGGTTCTTGAACACCTGCAGAGACAGTGATTCTACCACCTCCCTGGGCAGCCTGTTTGATAACAGCAGAATGATGGTAGAAGTGATAAGCCTAACTATGAACAATTAATCAGAGCATCCTTGTGCCCCTTGCTCCTCATCTCCCCCCATATCGCCAACTTAGGGAATGAGGTGGCTTCAGAAGGCAGCACACTGACCACTCATTCCCCACCTGGTAAATAAAGTCAATAGGCACATTTGCAGAAGTATGGCCTTACACTTCCTGGAAGAAGCATTCATTCACCTTGTACCTCCTTACCCTCTGTCCTGGAGGCAATTCAGGAAGAAAATGGGATCAACGTTTGGCTGAATGCCCTCATCTGGAGCATGCAGCCAGAGAGCACTCAGGGCCTTACCAACACCATGCAGAACGTACTCTGCTGTGATGGGAAGAAGAAAACACAGCAGTTGGCACTGCTTTCACTAATGGCTTGGTTAATGAAGTGGATGGCGTGCTTCTTCCAGTGATACAAGCTGGTTTTAGCACGCAGGAATAAGAAGGTTAAATGTGAGTTAAGAAACAAGCAGCTGCCCTACTGCATGATGCAGAGTAACCAGCTCCACACTGTAGGACCAAGAGGTACCATCAGCAGCATCAGCAATCTGACAGCCCTTCCAAGTGGCAAAGACTTTGGCAGATGTGTAACTAGGAAAAAAACCTCACACAGATCTTATTTTGTTCATTTTGGACAAACAGGAACCCTGTGTTCACTGAGCCCTGGGCACTGCGTCCCCAAGATGATATGGGCTACATAGAAAGAGGACAGAGGAAAGCAGTGAGAGTTATCAGAAAAGTGGACCTATGAGAATAAACTGAATTAACAGGTATGTCTGGGCCAGAAAGGACGCAGCTGAAAGAAATGTTCAACAGTCTTTACATGCATGAAAGCCTGCTACAGAGGATAAGGAAAAGCCCAGTCCCCAAGGCTATGGCTGCTCTACTGAAGGGAGGCATGTAACTGCCCTTGGGGAAACCTGGCAGAACAGCAAAGCTCTTAAAGGAATTGTTTGGAGACATCATAAAAAAAAACTTTCCATGACAGAGATGTTAAGGACAAGTTAAACCACCTTTCTGAAATGAATTTCCAAGCAATCCAGCACTGGGAAAGCAAAGTGGATTGGAAAGCACCTTTTCCCCTGAGTATAACAGTGAAAAATAGCAATCCAAGACAGTGCTGCAGAACGTTGCCACTCAGATCTGGAGCTGGCTCAGGACTCAGCTTTGTGGTACTGCGGTGCTCCAGAGAAATTAAGATAACTGTTATTGTCTTCAAGCACAGACTGGTGAGGAATGCCACAACTGTTTATAACAGCTGTCACTGGAAACAACGGCTCCCAGTCTCCACCACTTCAGAGCACGACCAGGAGGAAGGAACACTTCTATGGCTTTGTAGGATGATTACCAAAACGTTCTCTATCTTGATAGAATGCTTCTGCCCCAACAACAGCAACTTTTTTCACGTTCACTAATTCTCTTCCCTCACCTCTCACTGCACGGTGATCCTCATTATGCTGCCTTATTATTCAGCCCCTACCATACAGACACAACGTCCCTGAATATTCAGTCTTTGCTCCTTTTATTCTTCAACATCTGTAAGGCACTATGAAGCATCATTCCTATGTACGACTAGCTAAGCGCTCTTCAGACATAGAAACACTCCTTATTAGAGTATTTACAGCAACAATAATTATTTTCCCCCTGATTTAGAATGAGCTCCCTGAGCTCTCTGATTTACAATGAGCTCAGAGATGGTAAAGGTGGTAAATTCTCCCCCATGCTGCTGGAGGTGATGTGCAGGATGGGAGCTGGCAGGACAGACAGGAGCACCTCAGACATCATGCACTGCAGCCCTGGGGAATCACAGAATGTGGGTTCTGATCTGTGTGCACTCTGAAGGACGTCTCTCTTGACGTGCACAGCCAAATGCACTGCCCATGCTATCTTTGCTATCTTCCCTCAAAAGGCAGAGTAAAGACCAATCACTTTTTATGGTAATTTTTACATCAGGATGGCTGCACAGAGCTGTATGGAGGACAACTTCTGCAATGAAAATGGCTGCAGGACAACTGTGCCTTCTTGCAGTGTACAGACCAGAATGGCATCCTTGCCACTGACTTTTGTTCTCTGCCATCATGCTCACTGTGTAAGACAAGCAGGCAGACCCAGACATCTTCCTGCGTTTTGACGTGCTTCATTTAAAAATATACTTTACAGAACCCTAAGAAAGCTGCAAACCAGCATCATTCACAGCACAGCAGGCTGGATTTTTCCATTTTCTGATTCTCAGACATTTATTCACACATGCCTGCATTACATGGGCTCTATTTCTGCCTCCCTGGAGCCTATCAAAGGTGTGACACAGGGAGTGACCATTGGCTGCAAAGAAGACACAACCATCTGCAACACAACAATCTCAGGAAAAATGAGAGTGATGTCTCTGGGAGGACACAGTTCTGAAACCATAAGGATCTGGGAAAAAAGCAAACGTTAGGGTCAATACGAAAAACAGACCGGCTGTTTGATATTTGCTCATTTCAATATTTAAGAACACACGATGCACAACCTAAAGCCTTCGTTATCATGCCATCTTACTTTGGGGCAAACCCACACACACAAAAAAAACAACAAAAAACAAAAGCAGATCTGTCCTGAGAAACCTCCATCTCAGCCTGCAATGATCCGCTTCACAACCCGCTGACACCAGCACAACAGAGCAGGAGTTACAACTGCTGGCAAAGGTACCCTCCTACAGCCTCTGGGAAGGTTTATGAAGGAAGCTTCCTCCCCTGGGATTTATGTCAGCCTCACAGCTGTGGTCTCTCAGAGGAAACTCAAACCTCCTTGAAGCCCTTGGCTTGAAAGTCTCATGCCTACTGCATACTGGAAAAATCAGGGCCACCTCGCGAGCACGGGGCTGCAGACCTCATCATTGGCTGTTCTGTAGTTCCAGATACTCACACAGAATCACAGAATCACAGAATCACAGAATCACAGAATCACAGAATCACAGAATCACAGAATCACAGAATCACAGAATCACAGAATCACAGAATCACAGAATCACCCGGGTTGGAAGGGACCTCAAGGATCATGTAGTTCCAACCCCCCTGCCTAGCAGGGCCACCAAACACACACATTCAGATCAGGTTGCCCAGGACCCCGTCCAACCTGGCCTTAAACACATCCAAGGACGGGGCGTCCACAACCTCCCTGGGCAGCCCGTTCCAGGGCCTAACCACTCTCCTTGTATAGAACTTCCCCCTAACATCCAACCTAAATCTTCCCTCCTTCAACTTCGATCCATTTCCCCTAGTCCTGCTGTTGTCAGCCCTTTTGAAGAGTTTACTCCCCTCGTGGGTGTAGGTTCCCTTCAGGTATTGATAGGCTGCAATGAGGTCACCCCGCAGCCTTCTCTTCTCCAGGCTGAACAAGCCCAACTCCCTCAGCCTGTCCTCATAGGGGAGGTGCTCCAGCCCCCTGATCATCTTAGTCGCCCTCCTCTGGACCCTTTCCAAAATCTCAATGTCTTTCTTGTACTGAGGGCTCCACACCTGGACACAGTACTCCAGATGGGGCCTCACAAGAGCCGAGTAGAGAGGGACAATCACCTCCCTGTCCCTGCTGACCACCCCTCTCCTGATGGAGCCCAGGATCTCCTGATGGAGCCCAGGATCAACTCCTGCTCTTTGTGGTAGTACCAAAACCCATCCACGAAACTGGTCCCCACCTATTACTTGCTGCAACTTGCACGGTCACCATATTCCACATGGGCTCCACAAAAGGGTTTTCATCCGGAACATCCCAACTCACATCTGTGCAGGTACAGGGAGCGAGCACCTGAATAGTGGTGATTTTTGGCCACATTGCACCTGAGGCAGAGGCCAGGCAGCTGGGTCACTGGGGTACACACTGGGATGGGAAGGGACAAGGCTGTGAGCACATGCAGTGTGATAGAACGTTGACAAAGCTCTCTCAGATCAAGTCACATCAAATTTATGCTTTCAAAGTGATTTAATCCATTTACCAAATATCCCCCTACAGCTGGGGGGAGGAGATCCCCAATAACTCTTCAACAGGGATCGGTGCTCCTCAGCACCTTTACCAATAACATCGATGATGGGACTGAGTGCACCGTCAGCACTTTGCTGATGGCACCGAGCTGAGCAGTGCAGTTGGTACAATAGAAGGAAGGGACGCCAGCCAGAGGGACCTGGATAGGATTGAGAGCTGGGCCCACGTAAACCTGATGAGGTTCAACAAGGCCATGCAAGGTGCTGCACCTGGGCCAGGGCGATCCCAGGTGTGTGTGGGAGAAGAACTGCTTGAAAGCAACCATGCAGAAAAGGCTTTGGGGGGGTCTGGTGGAGAAAAGCTGGACACGAACAGCAGTGTGCACTTGCAGAGCAACAGTCTGCAGCTGTACCAACAGTACCTTGGGCTGACTCAGCAGAGGGGTGGCACTGAGCAGGCAGGTTTATCCCCTTTGCTCTGCCCGCATGAGGTCCCACCTGCAGTACTGCATCCAAATCTGCCTCCCAGAGCTGTGGGTGCCCCATCCCTGGAGGTGCCTGAGCCCACAGATGGGACCTGGGCAGCCCGACCTGGTGGGGGCACCCAGCCCATGGCAGGGTTAGTGCTGGGAGGTCCCACGCTCCCCTCCGACTGCAGCCATTCTATAACTAAAACTCCAAACCGCCCGCCAGAGCGATGCGTCCCATACTCCTACGGGCTAAACTGCGCTCCCGTCCTCGTCCGGCGCTCCTCACCCCTCCCCGCCCTCCTCCTCCGCCAGCTCCCATCCTGCCCCCGCGTCCCCTCCAGCAGCGCGATGCGCCCCGGACCCCCGAGCCGCGGCCGGCGGGGAGCGAGCGGCCACGAGGAGGAGGCGGCGGCACCGGCTGCGGACCCCGCGGCTCTGCTCCCCTCGGCAGGTGCGGGAGCCAACATCACCGGGGCAGCACGAGCGCTCTCCGCCCGACCGGGCCGAACCGAAAGGAACGGAACGGAACGGAACGGAACGGAACCGCGGCACTGCCCGCCCCGTCGGTGCTCCCCCAGCGCCCCGCTCACCTGCGCTCCCGCCGTTCCTCTCCGTGCTGCGGCGGTTCCGGCCGCGCTCGCCCTAAATAAGCGGCGGCCCCGACTCCGCCGCGCCAGCGCCGCTCCGCTCCCCCGCGGGGCCCGGCTCTCCTCGGGCGCGGCGGCGTAGCGGTTCGCTCAGCCCCGGGGGCCGGGCCACAGCCGGCGCGGAGGGCTTGGTGCGGCCGTCCCAGGCTGCAAAGAGCCGAGAGCTGGGGCTGCTCTGCCGTGAGCGGCGGGGAGGGGTGAGGATGGGGTTGGTCTCCCTGGCCCGGAGTGGCCCCACACGGGGCTGCCCCGCATGAGCTTTGTCATAGAGTCACGGAATCACAGAGGATCCAGTTCCGGGCCTCCTGATGCGAGCAGGGCTGCCAACCAAGCGCCAGGTTGTGCTGCCATGGACCCCAACCGTTGCCCTGAGCGCCTCCCGGGATGGGGCACCCGCAGCTCTGGGCAGCAGTGCCAGCGCCTCACCGCCCTCTGAAAGAAAACTTCCCCTGACATCTAATCTAAATCTGCCTTCCTTTAGTTTAAAACCACTCTCCCTTATCCTATCAATATCTGCCCATGTAAATAGTCACTCTCCCCCCTGTTTCCCTCCCTTAAGTACTGGAAGGCTACAAGGAGGTCTCCCAGAGCCTTCTCTTCTGCAGACTGAACACCCCCAGATCCCTCAGCTTTTCTCCATAGCGGAGTTCTTCCCCCGAACTCTACACACACCTGGGATTGCCCAGACCCAGTGCAGCACCTGGCACTTGGCCTTGTTGAACCTCATCAGATTCATGTGGATCCACTTGTCCATCCTATCCAGGTCCCTCTGGCTGGCATCCCTTCCTTCTACTCTATCAACTGCACGGCTCGGCTCGGTGCCATCAGCAAAGTGCCACATTGATGCCACTGGTAAAGATGCTGAAGGTTACTGGTGCTCAGATGGAGCCCTGGGGGCCACCACCCCCCACCACCCCCACTGACCACAACGCTTTGTCCACAACCACCCAACCAATTCCTTGCCCACCAAACAGCCCACCCTTCAAATCTGTATCTCTGCAAATTAGGTGTGGTGTAGGACCATGCCAAAGGCCTTGCACGAGTCCCAGTAGATGTCATCAGTTGCAGTTCAGGTAGAGCCCAAGTCTTGAAACAGCAGTGACAAAGTCAAAGCTCCTTTGCAGTATCATTTGGCCTTAAAAAGATACTAAATTAGACACTGCCAACCAGCTGTCTCCATTTCCCTCTGGCAGCTAATTTACATATTGGATTATTTTCAAGAAACAGCTAATCTCATGTTTTTTGAACACTTACTACCGCGGATAGCCAGGCTCTGCCATCTCCACCACCTTGTCTCTGCATGATGGGCTGAAACTCATTCATGCTCAGGAATTGTCTGACTTTGACTACAAGTCTGCTGTAGCTGCCCTGAGCTCAGGCTCAGAAGGAATTTCATGCTCTCCAATTTTGACCTTCGTTTGGCACCTCTGATTGCTGGCTGTGCCCAGGAATAGCAGCATCCCATCCACCCTCCCTTGTAAGAATGCATTTTTAACACTGGAGGGGCTGCGTGTTGTGTAAGTCAGACAGCTACAGCCTCTCACCTGGAGCTCTCACCTGGAATAAGAGGGAATTTTCAGGCTGTCCCACCGCAGTGCGAATCTGATACAAAAATAAATAAGTAAAATAAAATAGATCTCTCCCTGCAGCATCATTTGACTTCCAGAGGACACCGAGTGAATCTTCTGAGCCTCCAGAATTTCCTGGAGACAGAACAAGACCGCCGTAGCTACAATGGCTGTTCTTCAAAAACCTCGAGAAGATGCCTCTCAGTTTATTCTCCTTCCAAACAATGTGGGTGTTGTTTCGTGGGTGGAAATGTGTTTGGTGCGATGCAATGTGCAAGGAAAGAGGTTGGTCTTTTACGTCTCCAGCTGAAGAACAAATTCTGCCCTTGGGCAAGAGAAGCTTAAAGGAAATCTTGCAGAGCTCTGCAGCAGAATGCAAGATGGTCTCAGAGCTGTGGCCATCATAAGCTGTCTCATTGCTGTGCTGTCAGTCACTCAGTAGGAGCAGAACATTCGCTTGCTGCAGCCATTGCTCTGCTGTGCCGTGGCCCATAGACGTTTGATATTGTTCACAAGCATTACTTCCATACAGAAAAAACGTTGTGGTTGGTGGCTTTCTTAGGCTGTTGTGAGAAAGGAGACAGTTTTGGGGTGCAGACCAATCTTCAGACATTTTCAAAAAAGGGAAGAAATACATTTTTTCCTTCTCTGATTTTGGTCACCTGGACACTTTCCTGCCTTCTAACGGCTGCAGCTCATTTCACTCGTGCTTTATAAGGTCAAAATCAGCTGTATTTAATATCCTGTGTTGAATGTTCCGCTCAGAAAAATAATGCAGCTATTCCTTGAGATATGTTATCGTTTTGGGGGGTGGGAGGCAGGGGAGCTCATGCAGAGAGGGAATTTGTTCACCTGGAGACGCTGTGAGTGTGCACCAGTGAGACAGGCGGATCTACAGATAAAGGGGCCTCTGAAATGAGTCTGCTTCTCAGTTTAACACTAGGAAAAAAATATGTCGGTGTTGGCAAGGTTGACAGAGTCACAGAAGTGTGGTGGTGATGCTCAGTCTGCAGACTCATGTGTCAGAGCAGTTGTAGCTGTACATCAGTTTAGCTCAGGTACATCTGCAGCAATTTGGTGCTGAGTGAGGACCTTTGAGAAGATCTGGGCTTTTCCTTGGGCTGTGGGACACAAAGACAGCTTTGCTGAGCTTCCACTCTGCAGCCATTTATTTGACTTTCACACGGCAGATTGCATTTTTCCTTTTCACATTGAGCCTACTTTCCAAAGGTACAAATCAGGAAGCTGAAGAGTTTCCAATAGCATGTTTTTGTGAGCATATCTCAGTTCATTTCAAAGCCAACATTTCATAGGAACCTAAATATCTGTTTTCCAGAGAAAACCATGTGGCTCGAACATCATTTGTTCAAAATGTCAGTTCTGTTCTCTCTTCCTCAAATTAGAGATGTAATCATTATTTTTTGGGTGCTTTTCTTTGGATACCTTTAGCTGTGTGCAAAATGACTCTGCAAGCCGGTGATATACAGCTTCAAAGTATGAAGCAATTATTTAGTTGCTAATGTATGCAAAGGAAAGCTGGGAAATAACAAGGCTAAGCTTTAATCTGCTTGCCAGCTCAATGAGAAACCAAAGTCGTGTCTGGCCAGGCAGCCATCAGGTGACCTGTGCAGCTTGTGGGTCCTTAGTTGAGCCCCATCCCTGGAGGCATTCAAGGTTGGGTTGGATGGAGCCCTGGGCAGCATGACCTGCTGGTTGGCAACCAGCCCAAGCAGGTGGTTGGCACTGGATGATCTTTAAGGTCGCCTCCAACCTGAGCCATTCTGTGACTCAGCTGACACTGACCCATCTAATTGTTCTCTTGTTGGTTTCATACCTTTCCATGGCGGTGTTTCTTTTTCCCCCTGAAAGCTCATTCTCCATCTCAGCAGTCCCACCTCTCTGACTTTGTTTTCTATGATGTACATGTCTAAGACTTTCTCACCCCTCTTTCTCACAGTCTTTCTCTCAGCTGTCTGAGGTGGTGATGCAGCTCTTCCTTGGGTCCTTGGCACATAGACAGCTGAAGCCCCAGAGGAGGCAGAGGTAAAACACTACAGAGAGAATGAAATCTCATTCTCCAGTATTGCACATGAAAGTCTCAACAGATCTGGGTAGATTGCTGATTGCTCTGAGGTGCACTTTTTGGGTATTTGATTTCAAATTGCTTCAGAAGATAGGCTGAAATCTTGAGTTTTTTTGTTACTGTTGCTATCCTCACCCTAAATCCAAAACACAGCACCGTGCCAGCAACTGGGAATGCAATTAACTCTATCCCAAACAAAACCAGGAGAAAATGGAGTTATTTTACTGTTCTCATCGAAGCTCTCAAGAATCTGGGGGCAGACATGGACCTGCCTCTGCTGGTGCAGTGCCATCAGCCAGCAGATGGGAAGGGCAGCAGTCAAAGCAGCTGAAGTGAATTCTAAACAACAGCGAAGCCACCATCTGAACTCATCCTCTTCAGAAGGGAAATGACATTAACATGGCTGTGTCCTGGATGGTGTCCAAGTAAAAGTACCTCCTTCCTCATCAGCATCGTGGCTCCCTGTGGATGTACAACAGTCAGACCCACTTGTTTATATGAGTAAAGATAACGCTTTTTTTTTTTCCCTCGGTAAACCTTCTCAAACCTTATTTTGCCCACTGCTAATTTACAGATATTTCTTCTGGGAGCCAACAGTGTCTTTTCTTCAGGTCTGCTTCTCTGAATAATCCATGTCTGCCTAAATTGCATTTTTTTATTCAGCAAATATTCTGGCTTTTTGTCAGAGAAATTATTGTGGCTAAGAAAGGTGGATATGTCAAGTGAGATCTCTTCTTTGGGATCAGGAATTCTCTCAGCTCTTTGGCATTTGCTATCATCTCACTTTTAGCATTGAAAACGGAACTGAATACTCGGACATTCAAAAACAAAATGCAAAAAGGAGAGAACACAATGTTTGGAACAGACATTGGGAGGTGGTGGAGTCACCAACCCTGGGGGTGTTGAAGAGATGTGGAGATGTGGCACCGGGGGACGTGGCTTAGAGGCAATATTAGTGCATGTTTGGACTGGATAATAGAGGGCTTTTCCAGCTTTAATGATTCTATGATTTGCTTTCACTACGTGAATAATTTCCCCCTGAAATCCACATTTTTTGTCACATTCCAAACCTCACAGATATGTCAGCATATATGGAGAGTTCTTCAGGCACCATTTCTCTACAGAAGGATTATTTTGGCTTTACAAAGTTTTATTCTCAAGCATGTAAAGGACTATTGCTCAGATTGCAATCTATACATCCTTCTCCTGAGGCTTCTTTCTTTATCAGGCAAATAAATGCTCAGAAATTGGCACAGCACCAAAATACTAAATCTATCTCATAATTGCTAAGGTAATTTGTGCCAGAGCCTGGAACAGCTTTGTAGCCA